GAAGAAATTGGACCTGTACCTTAGCCAGCCCCACATTGGGGAAGGTGTCCATGGTCATCACCGTCTCCTCCCCTGACTGGTTCTGCAGCTGTCCCTTGAGGATACGAGCCGCTGTGTAGGTTGTGATTCCCATACCTGATGCACACGCACACACACACACACACACACACACACACACACACACACACACACCTTAACAAATCCTCGCCTTGACAAACTCCTTTTAATATAACTGCAGCGTCTCTCCGTCTTGCTGTGAATATCAGCCTCTCGTTTTACTTTATCTTCTTGTTTTCTTTGAAATGTTTGCTTCCTGTTTTGCACATTCACAATAGAGACCAGAACGAGGAGGACCGAGGTCCAAAATCATATTTAAAGAAAGCAGGCCAGACGCTAATTCCTGATTCTGCTCGTCTTACCTGTTCAGCCTGTCTAGTGTTATTAGCGTAAGGAGATGACTGCGTTGTGTAACCCACCATCTCCGAGGAAAAACAGGATGTTCTTGGCGACATTGGTGTTGAGCTTCCTGTCCAGCGCTGCCTGCAGACTCTGCTTGGCCTGTGACCTCCAGAACTCCGGGTTCTCTTCTTCAACTGTAGGTAAGCACACACACCGATCTGGAGTCAGTGTGGAGGTACTGAGACAGCAGACGTTCAGGCCTGACTGTGCTGTCAAACAGCATCTTCATGGTTACTGTCTCCGTTTATGCTGTTTGTGTTGTGGCTTCAACTTGTTTTTAAAATCAGAGAATCATTTATTATAAAGTTGTTTGTCATGATCATGTGTATTCAAACCAGAGAAGTGTTGAAGCTGTGAGTCATGTAACAGCGTCTGCCGGGGAAATGGGTTTGTCTCCCTGGTCTCAGCTCAGTCCACTTGAACTACAAAGGGCCAGGCCAAGCTAAGCCGTGCTGACATGTTTCCGCCGCCGCAGGTTACGAGTCATGGTGCCCTGTTCCCTCTGAGCAGCAGCACCGGCCCGGTCTGCACTGCTATGTGATGGCGTCAGGGACAAGACAGAAGGTTCTGTTCTCTGCGTGTTTGACTCTCAGCACTTTTGAAACTTCCACTTGATCTCTGAAGTTCAGTTTCTCTCTCGTGTTCCGGTTTGTACTTTCTGATATCGGCCTTATTTTACTGCTCGCGGTTCACTTTCAGGTACATTAAACGTGTTGTGTGAAGCAACCGCTGATGGAAATTCAATGTGTTCAGCATCACTTTAGTACGATGGCAGAAACAGAAACACGCTGCAAAAAGAAAACGCTGCACATCCAGTCACACGACGGAAGTGCTCCAGGCCTCTAGGGGCAGTGGTTACATCTTTATCTTTCCAGTCACTGTGATTATCTGGTGCTGACGGGGTGTTTTACTGCCGCCTCCCTGTGTTCTCATGGAGACCAGAGAATACAAACCTTTTCACGCAGCTTTTCCTGCAACTAACGTCACCTGTCTCGCTCACCGCCGTCTGCCTCTCAGGTGAACAGCTCACTACTGCCCCTAGAGGCCTGGGGCACTTCTGTTGTGTGACTGGATATGCAGCGTTTTCCTTTTGCAGCTTGTTTGTGTACATGCATGTCATTTGCCCCCGTTGGCCGCCGGGCTTTAGCAAGTCAGCTTAGTTCATTTCAATAAAAAACGGGTCGAACAAAACAGCAGGAGTTTTTACAACTGGCACTCCTCCAACACATAAACAACTTTAACTTCTATATATCTATAAATACATGTAATTTACCAAACACTTACTATGAACAGGGAAACTAGCTGAGGAGACTAACATAATGTTTTTAGTACCAGGCTGTGAACATGTTTATTTTAGCTGTAGCCATTTTAACTTGGAGTCTATGAGGATTGTCTCTCGTTGGGAGGCAGCCTCCGGTGGCCATTAAAGGAACTGCAGATTCTCATATTTCTGCATCGGCTTCATTCTTAAGTCCTGAATGTTGCTGCTTGGACTCTGAACATGTCCACACGGTAGCAACTTGTCCATCATACAGCCGCCTCACCCTAAAACCTACCCGTCTATTTTTACTAAAGCAGACCATAGTTTACTAAATGAACACCGTGCTGTGTTCAGGGAGACTTCAAACGAGCAATCAAGACCATAAACTCATTAGAAAAATGGTTCCTGAGGTAATAAATCATGGCAGACATGGGGTTAACTTCACATAGACTTTATTACACAGTCTGTGCTCGACTCAGGCTTTGAGTCAGCAGGTATTATCTTCTACTGCCTCGCTTGCAACCACTTAAAAAAAAAAAACTTCCTCTTGCGAATTCCTCAACGTTATAAAATTGCGTGAGTACCCCTTTAAAGCACAACATGTTCCAGGAGGTAATCATCTATCTCTCTACAGGTGTAACTTAATGCTTTGAACAAACTTCAAACTGAAATGTCACAGATGAGGCGTACTGTGCATCCTGCAGAGTTCGCTGTGAGCAGAATGGAAACGCTCCTCTGGGACGTGGTGGATGTGAGTGTGTCTGGATGTTTGTTTGTAACAGCAGCTGTCACAACTCACTCCGGCGCTCTCTTATCTGCTGCAGTGCATCTCCCCGCGCTGCTAACAGTCCGTCTGATACAGTAGTCCGCTAATACACGGCGATAACGAGCAGCCGCGCAACTCCACTCCGAGTGCGCTCATTGGAAAAGTTTGGAAGCCTCTTGCAAAACAAATGGACGGGGAAGTGTTTCGAGGATGAAAGCAAAGGCGGGAGCTGAAGGAAGAATGAGGAGAAAGAGGGCGAAACAGAGGAACACAAAGGGAGAAGTGAGTCCTGCATGTTGGATGGTTAAGATTTAAAAGAGCTCGTAGAAAAACAGGAAAGAAATCTGAGCATCATACATGAAAGTCAACATCTTCAGGCCACAGAGATGTTGCCAGGAGAATCTACTGGTTCATGTGAATCTACTGGTTCATGTGAAAGCAAAGTGACGACGGAAACGGCTCAATTATATCAGAAGAGGACGCCGAATGGTCACCATGTGGTCCTCGGCTCTCTTCTCGACACATTTCAAGTCTCTGTAACGCTGCAACCGTCTGCTTAAGGCAAAAATCTTTAAAACATCCATCCATCCATCATCTCTACACCTTAACCCTCACCAGGGTCATGGGGGGCGGAGTCTATCCCGGGTGTCCTCACCGGGACGTGAACCGGCGACCTTCTAGCTGAGAGGCTACGGTGCTAACCACCGTTCCACCTTGCAGCCCTTTTTAAAACACTATGAAGAGGAAGTTTGGTTGCTTGGTGATAAAAAAAAAAATCTGCAGCTGAAGCACTTTAAACACCTGAAGCTGTAGCCGAAGTAAAAATACAGAAAGAAGCCGAACCACAGGAGGTAAAATGAGCCAAATTACAGAAGGAATAAAGGTCAGCTGACTGAGAGCAGCCAGAGTCGTGGAGGAACGATGAAAGTTGTGGGTTAGAAGAGCTACACCACGATGGTGGTGCTTTTAAGCTGAAGATCCAAGAGCTGAAAGGGTTTGAAGTGTAAGAAATGGGTTATAAAGTCAATTAAAGAGAAAGAGATGAATATATTGTTGGGTTTGTTTTAGTGGTGAGATCAGTTTGGTTGTCGTTCCAAGATAAGATCAAATTGGATAAGATTATATAAATTCCAACGGAAGCTCTTGTTTTAGATTTTGCTCATAGAAAAATTACAATAACATGAGAATGAATGCAGTGCTGAATGGATTTAGGTGCAAGAAAAAAAATAAAAGAGCTACAATAAAACTAGAACTAGAAAAGTAAGAAGTAAAACCATAAAAAAACAAGTTGGGACAGTTTAAAAGCAAGAGATAAAGGCAGTGGAAATGTTTTTTGATGTGTGAACACTGAAAGAAGTCTTTTGAACACGTAAAGGATTAAAGTGAATGGAAGTGGAGGCACTGAGGTGAGTGGAAACGTCATGAATCTCAGGTAGAAGTGGAAACAACACAAGTGGATCAGCTGATGTGCAGAAAACAGCTGAGGAGTTGTTGATTGATAAGAAAGCAGCAAAAAGTAGTAGAAATGACAGTGGAAGCACTAAACGGTGAGAAGAGAAAGATGTGGACGTACTGTTGAATCACTGGTGGTGAAAGCAGCTGAACTGTTTTGTGAAAGCAGTCGAAGAGTCACTTGAAATGAAGAAGATGGAAGTGAGTGTGAATGTGTTTCAGGAGAAGCAGCAGTGAAGTCAGCTGAAACGTTGTTTAAAAGGGAAGAAATAAAAGGAGTGGAAGTGTTGGTGGATGTGTAGCCGCTGAGCTGTGATCTGAGGAGTGACACAAGCAGCTCAAGTGTAAAACATGGAGACGCTTTCTGGGTGTTTCTCACATTTTTATGATTTCTTCCTGCAACAGAAATAACTCAGATGCATTTTGTGCAGCAGGACACAGTTTTAATATCATATAATATGAAAAAAGCTGAATTGATTTCATTATTTATATGAGAAAATCAAAAGAAAAACTCTACGTGTAGATTCATCCAAGTGTCCACAGTGTCACCAACACAACACCTGGACATAAACTGGTGGCTCTTCATGAAGTAGATATTTAACTATTTACATTTTAATTGGTTTCCCTCCTCATCACCGCTCTGCTCTGCTGCAGTTCAACCAAAACGTTCATAAGTTTTTCCTGCCTTCCTGTTTGGTTGCTGCAGAGTCACTCGTGGTTTTTCAGTCGAGCTGAGAAGAACCGACTCTTCATGTTTACAGAATCTGTTCAGTGCAAACAGCTTCTTCTTCTTCTTTGTGTTTTAAACGAGACGTGTAGAATAAAGTCATTTTGATGAAATGGTGCAATTTCAAGCTTAGATTTTGTTTTGATTTTCCAGCTGAACCACGTCATACATGATTAGTTCAAGGACAATAAGAATCCTGTGATTTCTGCTGTGGTGTAATTCTGACATTTGTTTTTAAAGATAACACGTCTTCAAAACCCTCCAGCAGCTTTTGGGGGTTTATGGGGTTAAAATGCCAGTTTAAATGTAAAATCTGAAGGTTCTTGCAGTTGTCGGTTCAACTGTCAGTTGTCATGCGATAAATAAGAGCAGCTGAAGTGTCAGTAAAAGCAAAGGTTCAGAGACAGAGGATGAAATGTGAGCCGAGAATACGGAAAAACGTATTTAAGGTGTGAGGAAAATGAATCTGCTTTAAAGCATGAATGCATCTGAAGGGTTTGAACGGAGGCTGAGGAAATTCAAAGATGTGTGGAAGAGAAAAAAATTAAAAATGTACGAGAAATATGAAAGAAATGTGAGCAGAAGAAAGAGTAAGAAAATCCAGAAAACCCCAATCTGATAAAAAGCGACAGTGTGCACAGCGACTGATTCAACACAAAACATTGTCGTCGTTGTTTTCTTACCCTTTGCGCTGAATGATCCGAGGACCAGCAGCAGAAGCAGAACCGGGATGGACAGCCTTGTTGACTCCATGACCACGTTGGAGATCTGCTCCTCGAACCTTCCAACTCTTCCTCTGAAATGAAACTCGCCTCCAATCGCACCAGCTGCTAATCATCTTGGACAGCGTGTCATAAATACATAAAGACCGACGGGCCTGTGGCAGCTTTATGACCTCTGACTGAAAACACTGTGTTGTGGTAGATTAGACGGTAAAAAATAAAAATAAAACACACACAGAGCTGATTTACTAAAATAGTAAACTGAGACTGTGTGTGTGTCAGTTTTCCCCAAATAAAGAGGATTTGACAAACATCTATTTAAGGATTAATTACTGTCAGCACTTTTTAATGATAGTATTTAATGATCATTTATGAGACTGTGCCAAAGATCAAGGAAGCAGAAGTGAACATAGCAGCAAAGTGTGTGTGTGTTTGTGGGCTTCTAATCATAAACGGACTTTATCTGACAGATAGTGCAGCAGGGAGACACACTGTTATGTAAGTGAGACAGACAGAGTCCACCGGGACCGAGCTGAACGGCAGAACCACTCAGCCATCTATTTTCCAATGAATATATTAGCACGAGAGGGACGCATGTATCGACAGTCCTATTTTATTTAATAGAACGACCGTCCAAAGCCGCCACATCTCTGACACCGAGACGCCAACTGATGCACAAGTGTGATTTATTCCCTATTCAACAGGTGCCGTGCGTCACACTGGTAACGGGGCATTTATCAGAGCTAATTTGATCACCTAATGTTCCCGGCAAGTGCACTGATTAATCTTGCAAATGTGAACGAGCCACTGATGACAAGGGCCGCGGTAATTTGTTAATACACAAAATGAGTTAAACACCCCGGATCAGCCGGAAATATTCTTCTTACAACCATGAATGGAAGCAGAAAGAGAAGGAGAGAGAAAAAAATACCACACACTGAAGAGAACTACTTTTATGTGGAAATCTCTGAAGTGTGACCCTCACTCATGATAAAATAGAAAAATGCAAAGAACATTGAGAAGAAAAAAAAAGTCCCAGAGAGCAAAGTGGGAGCTCAGCCTCAAAAACAGGAATCAGGTATCAAAGTAGAGAAAGGTGGCACATCATCAAAGCAGGCAGCGTCTGTGCAGCTTCATATTTTATTAAAATGTCATTACTGATGCATTTTGGCCAGAAGCCATCCTCAAAGAATGAGTAGTGGTAAAGGTGGAAGACACGACAGACCCACACTGCCCATCTCATTCAGTCAGTGCATCGCCTCAACCCTCACATCCTCAGCATCCCGCAAAACCTGCTCTTAATGATTAGAAAACATGCTGAGTGTTTGCTTAGCTGTTCCTCTACAATGTGTTTGACTCAGTTCAGTCTCTAAGTATGTAAGAATATTGAATTTGTACAGCATGCGGGGGGTGATAGCAGCAGTTAGCTTACTGTCAGAGGAATATTTCACTTCTTGGAGGCAAAGAAAAAAACTGTGAGCGTTCAGAAACTCTTTGAGCCTGAGTGTGATGATACCAGCTCACGGATACGAGCTTCTCTACGTAGCTGTGGACCACACGCTGTAAATGTGCTCGTGATTACTTATTCATGTTTGGTGGCTTCAGCAGCCGACGCACAACCAGCTGTGACGTCATCGAAGCCTCGAGTCTGGAATTTGGTCGTCACCGTCGTGCTCTGCCGAAACTCGACACAAGCAAGCGACGAATCAGACTGAGAGTTAGAGGACGCTAAGTCTTCTAATACAGCGAGGTAGCCCCGCCCTCAGACACAGCCTACTTTATCTTCTATTTCACTCAGAATGGAGCCAAACTTTACAAAATGAACATCATGTTGTATTAAGGGAGACGTGAAATAGCCTCTGGGACCATAAACATGTGATGAAAGGTTTACTGATGCAACAAATGAAGTGAGAAATAGGCTCATTTTCTCACTGACTTCTATACAATCCAGCTTCTTTTTGCAACCAGAGGAGTCGCCCCCTGCTGGCTGTTAGAAAGAAAACAGGTTTAAGACGCTCCTCTATCGGCTTCTCTTTTCAAACCTTCTACATCTATCTTTATATACACACTTTATGTGAATGGCATGACTTTATATAGAAAGCATCTATAAGCGATGGGGAACATCATGTGACCGCTACGCTTTATGAACTTCTGGTAGGTACTGTTTCTCTTTGGAAGGACTCCTCATATGTAGCACAGAGCATCCAGTAGCCGACAACTCTGAGACTTAAATGCTGCTGCAATGAGCTGAATGTTGGTAAGCAATCACAGTGGCCCAGTCTGAAACCTCTAATTCATTTATTAATTACTGTCAGTATCAGACACTCAACATGAGCAATCATTTGTCATTCTGGACAATAATCATCATCATGTTGTGACAGTAATGTTTACATGTTGTATTGTGGGACTGCAGGTCGTAGAATCCTGCCGCTGATGTTTCATGCGAAATATCTGAGGACCCTGTACAGGACATGGATTTGTTTGGATGATTCACAGGTCAGTCAATGTGGCTTCGGAGTGATTCCAATCAGAAGTAGCTACACAAAGGTCGTGGCCACCTGAAGAAGGCCTGCAAGTTCCTGCAGAGGGACAACATCTGGGGAGCATGAGTGTTGTACAGAATGTCACGGCAGCCCACACATTACACGTCTGCAACAAAGCGATGGAGCTACTGAGCAGTCCAACAACAGACCAACAATAAAGTGTAAGACAGGGAATTACTCCCACTTCCATACAGGAGGATCCCGTGTAGGAACCACTGCAGGACCAGATCAACTCCACAGACGGCGGGTCGACGACACATCCTGTCCTTTACCCCAACAAGCCAGCGGACTGCTCTGTACCAGCTGGACTGTGAATCCTCTTTGGGGGTATTTTTATTCAGAGCAGCAGAGAGAGGCAGGGAAGAGGGGCGACGCAGCAAATGGTCACGAGCATGATTCGAACTAAAGACCGCTGCATCGGGGACGACAGCCCCGTTCATGGGACGCCGTCTTTTCCGGTTGAGCGACCGCGGCGTCCCAAAGAAACGCTTTTTAAACCGTGTTGTGAGGCAAAAGTCACCAAAACACCAAAACTTTCATCTGGTTTCATTTGCAAGTGATTCCATACATGAAGTGAGAGAAACTGCAGGTCTCCAGACTAGCTTAGACCAGGTCCTGGTGTTGTTAGACCAAAGCTGCTAAGATGGCTGCCAGGTAGAAAGATTCACCTGGAAGGACTTTGACACAACGTTAGTCTGGAGGAAAAGGAATCTAATTTCCATATTTTAATGTACAAATTATTTTAACCGCTCATCTTGGATATTTGTTTTATTTCTGAGCTCGTGGGGGCACCATGATTATAATGGGGTCTTATTAGAAAAGGAAACAGTGGCTACTGGACATAAAGTTCTGCTGGATATTTTTTGGTAATATGAATGTCTTTAATATGTTTGTATTTGTCCAAAATGCAAACCAGAAGCTGGATTCTACTCAGACAGGTTGTATTCAGCAGAGCCATCTAACGTCCAGGCTTTGGTTCCTGTGTCAGTGCCCCCTATGAGTCTGGACCCCCTTCGGTTACACTGAATAAAAGCAGTGTGTGTGTGACCTTTAGTAAAACAGAGGATTGTGTGACCTTAACTAAACTCACCGGCCGCAGAATGCACAAGGGCTGACGGCAGCTCTGTGAAGGAGAAGCAGAGTGTGACAGCTGAATGGGTCGGTGTGCCAGGAGAGTCCAAACGGCTGACAGGTTGTCAATGATGCCGGCGAGGAGACGTGACCACACTGTGTCCTCTCTGGTGTGGCTCCCAGCAGCCAGTGGGGCGGCAGACTGTTGCGCACACCCGGCACCATCTGTTCTGGAGCCATGATTCATGACGATATGATGCAAGCTCATTACTTTGTGTTTGTGTGAAACGGCGATGGTCCCTGTGGGAAAAAAATGGGTCACGGCAGCAATTTGTAGGATAGAACAAAGACAGAGGAACACGGGTTATTCTGATGTTGTAATTGGAAAAGAATGACTGCGATGCGGAAAATGAGCATAAAACCATTCCGTTCATAAAAGGAATGGTTTGAAATTTTGGGGAAACATGTTTGTTCGATCTCTTGCTGATTGCTAGACGAGGGCTAAGTGACACCGCTCAGATGTCAGCGCTCTACGGCCGCGTTACCGTCATACTGGAGTTAATGTAATTAACATTCCTCATTCGCAAGAAGTGTTTAAACCAACGTTCCAGTTGTATTTATGACTGAAAGGGAAATTTTCCTGGAGGCTCTAATGCGTCTATACCCACCAAAAAGTGCACAACTGCTGACAAAAGAATACCAGAAGGTAAAGGCAATGAAACAGTGAAATCATACAGCTGTAGCTTTATATTAAACAACCTGTACAGTTATAGCAAAACCTGACTGCGTTTACAGTATTTTTTTTTAGCTAACAATTTGATTAGAAGTATGACAATGTAGAATGTTATAACACCTGTGTTTTTGCTAGTAAAGGTGGTATAAATATGACAGGTAGCCTGTTAGCTTAGCATAACACAAAGATTGGAAACAGGGGACACAACTCGCTAGCCTGGCTTTGTTCCAAGGCAACACAATATGGCTAACGGCACCTGCAAAGCTAATTAACACATTAATATCTTGTTCAAGCTTTTGTAGTTCTGTAATTTCCGGACTATTGAGCGCACTTGAATATAAGCCACACCCACTAACTTCAGAAAGAAAAACAAATTTGTACATAAACAGGCCGCACTCGAGGCAAATTCGTAAAAATCATAAGAATCCATAAATTAGCCGCATCATTGTTCAAAGAGTGTGAAAAAAGTAGCAGCCTATAGTCCAGACATTACGGTATCTGACATGTTCCTAGATTTCCTAGCAGAGCCAAGCTAGCTACTTCCATGTTTTCAATGTGTTCGCCAAAGCTAAGCTAAGCTAACAGTCTCCTAAAGGTGGCGGGAAAAGCCATGAAACTCAACGAGGACATCGCCGGTGCAGAAAAACGGCACTTCCTGTCCTCTCCGAATTTAACCAAACTAAG